GCTTCAGCCAGTCCATTAGACAAGACATCGTGATTTCCTGATTTTTCGTTCACGTAAGAGTACAGAATATTTATATTATTGAATACCTGTAACATTGAAAATAATATACTTAATAATCACCTAAGTTTCAATAAAATAACAATTATTTACACCCCAATTTCCAATACATAATACGGTTAACAATAATTTTTAGGTATCATTTATTAGTTGTGTTATAAATACCAGTTATTATACTACTTATTACTATACTGAGTGTATTAAATGACAATAATATCAATTATAACTATTAATTAAAAAAAAAAAAGTAAATCAAAATTAAAAAACAAAAAAAAATTAATAACAACTTCTAATATAGTAAATATTGTTTTCCAATAAAGAATAAATAAAAAATTATGCTGAACACCAAGATCTGCCCTATACATGTCACTTTATTATTATAGAAAATTTCATCAAAAATATAAAAGAGTATAATATACTCAAAAATTGTGTTTACCATGATGTACGCTCCCATACCCAATATATACCATGAACTTTTTTTCAATACAATCAAATTGGAGTATGAAGATTTGAAATTTATCCATGCATCTTTCGAGAAAAATTCCATTTTTTTATTTACTTTTTCAATCACAATTGTATCTAGACAGAAGAGAGCAAATAAATATCAGCTTAAATTTTACATAGATTAAGAGTATGAGTACTGAAATTTAAAAATACTTTAACAAAAATTATAATAAGAGACAAAGTGTTTCATACTTAGGTTTTGTTCATCGTTTTTCGTATTATTTTCTAAATTATTTTTAAGAAGTGATGAATTTTCATTTGGCCCCTTCGACTTATGCCAGTCATTTTTCTGATCAACCGATGGAAATGAACAAGCCCAAATTAAAGCTAGCAACAAACCTTGAAACAAAAAAATGTAATTTACATATATATTTTATACAGAGGAGCTTAAAACTTTATTTATGTATACTTAAACATATATTTTAAATCGACTATTAACAATCTTTCAGTTTTATAATATTTTTTTAATAATATTCATTCAAATAAAAACATTACAGTCACAAGTACACATAATGAAGTACTTATGAGTATGTATAAAAGCTGAGTGATTCATATCACAATATGATACCAATCAATAAATCGTAAAATATTATGCTTAATCGTCTAATTACTGAATATGTTGCAATATGGCAGGATAGTATAAACCCCTCCAGTTACGTTGACTATGATTTGTGCTGATATGTCTCCAAGAACAATACCAAGTTGTTTGGCAGTTGTAACAATACTGATGGCTATCTGATATTGTTCTACGTTTTTTATTTTTGCGAATAAATAACAGAATGCTATTCTATCAGCGCTATGTATCGACCCAACACCAAATGCAGAGACCTGTATTCAACATTATATAAAAAAAAAAGCAATGTTATACTATTTTCTCGTGTCTAATTAGAACTTATTTTTTTACGATTAGCTGATGTCAAAGCATCGGTTGTTAAATATAAAAATAATTTCATTTTTGAATGGTATAATATGCAATTAATGATTTTAAAGTGGGTTGAAGACTATAAAACTACATAATAGATGAAATTTTAAATTTCCATCTGCGAAACAATGACGACATAAAATATCGAATTGCTATACCACTTCAATCAATAATAAACTTAATCATACTAACCCTCAGCTGTGTTACACTTGGTTTACAAGTCATTAGGAAATAGAAGACACATGGACAAACGGTCAAGAATATAATGTTTGGCTTGTATAGAAAGTAGTCAGCAGTTATAAACATTAACAGTGCTGTTAATAGCGATCCATATGTTTTAAGATACTCGATAGATGTAGCTACCTATAAATAGATCATTATATATTAGAAACTAAATATAAAAGTGATATATTAGTGCAAAAAATGCACTAATTTTTTTTTATAGTTAATAATGCATCAGATTATTTTCAACTTTGGACAGATCTTAAATTACAATATAATCGGACTGCGCATATTCGAATACAGTCCATTAAAATTACAAAACCAAAAATAAAACATTATATTTTGTTTATATAAAAAATTAATATCTAGATTTAACAAGTGAAAAACCATGAAATAATTTGTTTTATATTATATATTTTAATTGAATCAAAACAGAAAACAATAGAAAAAAATTAATTCTAACTCAAATTTGAGTAATATAACTAATATAAACAAAATATTATAAATTGAAAAAAAAAACAGTTCCAGTTTAAACAGTTTGTGTTAACAATTTTAAATACTAAAATCAACAGTCAATAAGCTTAAAAACCATAAGGTTATGATAAAATATTATATCATAATACTATATAAATATATCAGCATAGGAACTTAAAACTTTTACTATACTTTTAGTTAACTCGGATATTCATTATCAAATAACTTAACATATTGACTATTTGTTTTAAATACTTATCAAATAAATGTTTATTTTTATTATACATATTTGATTTTATAAATACAACAGTTTTTAGTTTAGTTGTTAAACATTTCTAGTATATGATTATAGTATTTTTATTTTTACTCCCTCAGTATTTCTACAGTTTTTCAGTCGAAGTTTTACTTTTTGGAAATTTTGTGACTTGTCATATTATTATCTCACCGACTTCATCTCATAAAAAGTCAAAAAATTAAAATTGTATTATTTATTGTATATTTTTTATTTATTTCTTACATAAAATTTCTTACACGTTTATTATTATTTATTTCACTATTTAACGAAAATTGCCATAAAAACAGTATGACAACAATATAGATTTCGTCAGAACTCATCATGATAATCTATAATTATTTTGTCTCATTTCTTTTCATTTTACAGAGTGATTGGAAATTGATCTAAACAATTTGAAACATAGCGTTCTGATCGGCTCGGAGCTGTTTTGCTCGATAAGTGTGAACTTGGCCTAATGGTAATTTTATAATTTTATGTAATGTAAATTATACAAATTGGATAATTCTTTAAGTCACCCCAGTATATATATACAATCAGCTAATAGAATG